AAACGTTTGCGTATGCAATAAGTAGATTGTAACAAAATTCGCCACGTTGTCACGCTCTCGTATGAAAAATCTCGTTTGTCCTGTGACGCCTTAAAACATGTTCAGTTGGCACTCTCTTTACACAATGAGTACATTATAGAAAATTCAAGTTCAAAATAAAAGTTACAAGCTTTATTTAATGTAAACATCCAATGCAGCCAAATGGATTTCCTAAACGGAAATAAACTAATGATTGTATGCTTTTTAGCGTTATTGAATTAATAAATTGACTTATAGTACTTTTAATAAATTATTCCTTTAGTTTTATGGAACTAAATTATAAGTTCATAATTAGTCTATACTACGAGTAATATTATAAAGAGGTAAAGTTTGTGAATTTGTGAGGTTGTAGGGGCTAATCTATAGATCTATTGAACCGATTTAGTTGAAATTTGGTAAGAAGATAGTTTGAGATCCTGGGAAGGACATAAAATAATTTTCATCCCGGAAATCATTCCTTGAGGAGGTGAAAATGGGGATGAAAATTTGTATTGGGAAGCAAGCTAGGGACGAATCTCTAGTAGGTAGATAAGCAAGTAGTTCTACAATTGCAGAGAGAACGCAGAGGCAGAGAACAAGATATTATAATCATGTTAAAAAAAGATATTATTATAATATTAGTTATGGAAAATATTAAACGATATTACCAAAGTACAGATGCTATCGAAAGATATGGCAGTCAAAACGACTAATACGATGATTATAACTATTATCGTTGATGAGAAGTCATATTGCTGATGATACTCGTACATAAAGAAGCAATTTGGTGAATGTTAGATGTTCATTTATATATTTGTGTTATATGTTTTCGTAATGTTGTTTCTCCTCTGATTATACCATTTACATGCAAAAAAGCGTATCCTCGTGAAGTGGCGGCACCTGCGTTATAACACTTACATATTAATCTTTAATTATTTTTTTGTGCTTCGTGTTTTTCTGTAAACGTAGGAAATGTCTTCTATACAGATAATAAAATTATAACCGAGTCGAAACTGTAAATTAGTTATTTTTTGGAAAATCTTATTGAAATAGTCATTATTATTGACACAGAGGCCGAATCTATACTTTTTAGAATTTTTGTCTCTCTGTCTCAGAACGCATCACGAGTAAACCACTGAATAGATTTTGATGAAATTTGGTATGATAATCGTTGGTTATCCGAGGCAACATATAGGATACTTTTTACTGCGAAAATGTCTCATCTCTGAAAAATCGATACTAACCGTAAAAACATTTCTAGGAACGAATCCGAGCGAAAGGAGTGTGAGTGGCTACTTTATGCTCATGAGTAGAGCAATACTAAAAATAAAATGTGAAAGTATAGTTGTTTGTCGTTATTTATGCCGTAAAGGACTGAAAGATTGATTTGAGTTTTTGGAAGGTTAAAGGAAGGAAGGGCGTCATTAGTTATAAATATTTTTACCGTCCTTAAATAACTTGGTGAAAAGTATAATTTTCTTAATATGACTCCGCTGTAGCATGTCGATGTTTTAACAATATCGTTATTCGTAGTGGTATCTCGTTCATTCAATAAATCTACACTTGGCCACAATTGGTCTGCGGTTGGCGTTAAGCGCTGTGGTCCAGGTCATATAATATTTACTGTATACGATCTCCATTTTAACCTATTTACGAACAACTGTGTGCCTTTTGTCATTTGTGAAGCTAACGAATGTTACATTTAATTGTTTAATTCCAAATTCAAAATTCTGCAACATCGTATAATAATCACGTAAAAGTAATTAGTACCTTTGTGTGATTTTTTTAAAATTTGTAGTAGAAAAAATAATGTTGAAAATCCCATTTATTAATATATAATTAATAAGGTATTGCGTAACACACAAAAATACATCCGTCAAAAATAGTAATAAATTACTTTAAAAAGTACGATGTAAAATAGTATGACCATTACAGTAATGTAGAACAATTAATATTTTAAATAATTGAATCTCTGTCAAAAATATAGATTAAATGCTTCAAGGAAAGGAAAACGAAAGTAGTTCTCATATAAAATAAAAAGCATACAAAGTGCCTATATTAGTAATATTATATTATAGTAATTAGGGCGTAATGTTCTGAATTAGACAAAATCTGGACTTCTACAAAAATGGAGAACTGGTCGAGCAGTAACAAGTACTCAGTGCCACTAATAGGTTTTGCCGAATTACGTTGATCGAATTTAGTTTATATTTATTTTTTTATATTTAAAACATACTCCATGACTGATGTTACAAATAAATATATTGCATACTCCAAAGACTGGGTTAATTGGTATGGTAACTCTACACATTATTTTGCAGTTGTAACAATACTGATTTCGTCATGTCACACGTGTACAATTACAATTTGAAAGCAAAAATAATTTACAACACAACTGATATACATGTATAATAATATGATTTGCAAGATACAGAATAATAACCCTTTATAACGTATTGTTTTATGATTAAATGTATGACTCATAAGATTTGTGTGGAACGTTCACTTTCTCTTAACCGGTTTTTACAGTATTAGATTCGTCTTCGAAACCATTATTAAAGCTTAGTGTGTCAAAGTATTTGTTATATAATTTGTGTAACTTGATGTTGTTTATCACGACCTTGTCTGACCGCAATTCTTTTTAAAGTCGATTTTTCCCTAATATATCTTTTATGTGTTTATATCAATTAGACGGCGGGAATAAATTAATTTTAATTCCGGTATTTTCGTTATATAGCGTCTTGGGTATAACCAATGACGCACTTTTTCTTAATCGAGTCAAAGTGGTTAGTTTTAATAAAGGGAATAAAATCGGTGATCTCTGGCGCAATAGAAATGGACAAAGTAAAAATTAAATAAATAAAACTTTTAATAATAATAAAAAATATATATACAAATGGTAATTTTTAATCAAGGGATTGCCCACTTAAATAGGGAAGTTCAATCTGGTAAGTACAAATGAATATTGTAATAACAGACCGAAGCAGTCTGACGTCTGAGACAGATTTCCTTATTTGTTACCGTTAGCTATATTTCAGAACAGGGTTAGGTTACCTAAATTGAAATAAGATTTATATGAATATTTACATTAACGTAATATGTTTTTGTGCGAATTTTACACTTTATAGGTACGTAATGTCGTAACTTTTATTACTTGTTTCACACTTGATAACTGTGTGTTTTATTTAAGTTCATTATTATAAGGAACTTATATTGATAGGAACATACAAAAAAGTATATTTCTACCCGTGATTAAAAAAATTATGAATCTTAAGGAAAGAGTGACAACCCTAACTTTACTTGCAAGGAATAATGTAATACTTGTTAGCTAACTGTTATGTGGGGCGCAGTGGGCGATTGTTTTCAATGACACCATTAACTAGTACCAAATCGGAATACATTATATCCACTATAAAATATAAATTTTTGGTCTCGACAACCCATGAGTATGACCCATGTGTCTGGGTAGAAAATATTAAGAGGCCTCCCTCATACGTTGTTGTTGTGTTATCGTCAATTCAAAATTATGGAATTGTTACATAAAATACGAAATTACGCGTAATAGATATTTATTTCAATAGACAATATAATACTTTCTACATTTTCTGTTTTATCTAAGAAAAATATAAATAAATATGTTGGGACATCTAAGAAAAAATAAGTTGAAATTGTGAACCTGTATCTTAGCCTCTATAGCTTAATTAAATAAGTGAAATATTTGTTTTGATTAAATATTTAGTAGGTATTTAAAACTAAATTTTATGACATAGTTATGTACAATAAACCAATTTATATAATAATATAAACCAATTACTGACTACACGAAGCCTAAATATAACCATCATGAAATGTTTTACATAATTATTCCTTACTTTTGATTGCTAAATCTGCTACGTGACCTTCGCTTACCAGACGCCTCTTGCGTCTACTTCAAACATCACTTATTTAATGATACGATAAATATTTAGAGTTCGGACATGCCTATCGACTTATATCTTTATAAATTGCAGCTATTTTTGTATCAATAAGCAATCACTGACTGGCTCTTCTCGTATATTTTCGATTTACATGTTGATTTTTATTTTTTTTTTATCTCTGAAATTGGTTATTTTTATATTTTCCAAGCTTAAAATATATTTTTTATGTACAATAAATATTTGAATATAACACTATATTTGACTAGCATTGGCCGCGGCTCCGCCCGCGTTCAGATGACCAAAAACTGAATTCTGAGGTTTTACATATTAGTATACTCTTACATTACAGTTTTTGTATTTTTTCTCAGAAATAAGATATTTTTCCGCGGTAAAAAGTATCTTATATGTTGGCCCGGATAACCAGCTATCTTCATACCAAATTTCATCAAAATCTGTGCAGTGGTTTTCTCGTGATGCGGTAACAGACAGACAGACAAAAATTCTAAAAACTATAGATTCGGCATCTGTATCGATAATAATGTCTATTTCAATTAGATTTTCAAAAAAATATTTAAAGTACAGATTCGACTTAGTTACAATTTTATTATATGTATAGATTATAATTTATCTATTGAACAGTTTTTTTATTGTATTTAAAAAATAATAATATAGTTAATTATTGATTTATTTAATCAAAAGGTGCACGAAGCCTGTTGCATTTTGTATTTAGACCGCGTATTGTGGCACGCTCTTGATGCACCTGCATATTCCAACTGTCATATATAATAGCGTCTGCTGTCTAACTTTATTGTGTTTTGTAAATGTAAAAGTTTCTTTCATATCTTTCTATAATATTAATAATAGAACTAAAAATATTTTGATTATTTATTATGGATATATTTAAAATAAATGTAAAGTGGTTAATCAACTGTAGTCAGGGTGGTTGGTATAGTTTAATTGCAAAGCAAATTTGCATTGTAAGCACAATGTCACACTGCCTGTGCGTGAATGTCTATTGTCTAGCCGCTACTCGCCACTCGCCAGCATGTAGGAGCAGTTATCAAAATGGCGGCGCGTGGCCCGACGCGACGGCCATTGCGGCGCGGGGTCGTTGACGTCGCGCCGCCGATCGTTGGCGTGGCGCATGGATTAGTTTTACAACTTTATACTAGTTGCGCCATCTAGTGATGGTCTGGGGAGACTTTGTTTATATAGTTTATGTATAGATGGCGCTTTGTATAAGGAATAGTAATTTAGGATTATTCTTATAATGCTATAAAAAAGTTAAAACTAATAAATGATTGTCAAGTTTATGAATTATACTTAACAAAATATAAGAAGCAGCTTTTATCTTTTAAAAAAATCTAATGAGAGAAATATTTCAAAACAACTGCTGACTCAATTATTAAATTATTTGGATTTCGATACAAATACTATAAATCCCCCTCACAACAAACTTTTTTAAATTATAATTAATAACCCATTGTATAAATTGAAACCATAAAAGCTGGTACCCACTGTATTATTTTAAAAGACGTATAACGGTGTATTTTATTGTTTTCTTGTCTTGTCCACAGTGTAAAGACTTTGAAAAAGTCGGTGCTACCATAGCAGTCACACCCTGCGATGTGGTGGAAGAGGCGGATATCACTTTCTCATGCGTCGCCGACCCTCAGGCAGCTAAGGAGGTAAAATAGCAATACAAAAATAAATCCTAAAAGATTTTTATTTCCAACGTATTGTCCGTAATTGAAGTTTGAATTAAATTATTTAACTTAATATTTAGAGATCAGTCTTGAGACATTTTTTTTTTCAAATCGGTTTAAATTGTTTTTATTATAAAATTGCATAATAAAAAGTTTATATTCTATATATATAACGTTTAAGTATCCATAAGATTAAAACATTGATTGTTTTTAATCCCTCCACGACTGCGGACACGCTGGCGTTACAGTTAACAATAGATTTCTTAGAAATTTAATTTCTTAGAAATTTACCTGGAGGTGTTAAGAATAAAACATGGATATCAATTCTCTCCAAGATCTTTTATATAAATTAAATATTTAAAACTCCTTGAGTGAGATTTTACGGAAATAAAATCCCTACAGTATGTATATATGTGGTATTCATACTTTTTATATATCTCCTGCTGTTATTAGATATTTTATTCTTAAATACGTACATTTGTTTTAGAAAATTCTTTAGCAATTTATTTAATTTAAATTTCATAAATGTAAAATTGACTTATTCGAACTATAATGAACACTTAAAGAAAAATTCGATCCAGCCATTCTTAAGTGCTGCTTCGCAACGAACAGCTTTCCATTTTTATTTATATAGATTGGACATTAATTATTATAGGATCCATTCGGGGCTGGTATTGTAAAGCTTTTCTTTCATTTAGACATAAATAATAATTAATGTGACAATATAAGTGGCTTTTACGTAACATACATATACGAGTGACATATTACATATACGTTTTCCTTGACGTTGAAGGGTAAAGGTCGACCTTATATTAACATAACCTTTGTCTTGTGACCTTTGGACTGTATAAAACGATATGATTTATGGTTCATCAAATTATCACAAAAGCACCATGAAGCTATAATGAGTTCAGAAAAGTTTTAATTTGATGGAGAATTGTTTAGACAGTGTCTCTAACGTCACGGAATTTTTGTACATAAATTATGAATTAGCTGACTTTTGCCTAAAAAAAAATTGTATTCAGTTTAATATGTAGAGTATAATAGTTTAAAAATGAATTGATATTGTGTACTATGTGATAAAATTATTTGTCAGTTTCAATAGTTTATCCATTTGTTGCATAATATTCGGTGGAACGCCACTTGATGGAATATTCAGACATCCCATTTTATGATTTGGGATAAAACCAATTTTTTTATTACTATTTTAATTAGGTTTAATTTAGAAGTTATGAGTAACGTATTAATTTTTTAATATCTTTAATTTTAGATGGTGTTCGGCAACTGTGGCGTTCTCCACTGTCCATCCTTAGAAGGCAAGGGCTACGTGGAAATGACATCGATAGATGCGGACACGTCGCACGACATAGTTGAAGCGATCAGTGGCAAAGGCGGCAGATATCTTGAAGCGCAAGTAAGTTTTAGCCTACTGTTCTATTTGCATGGTAGATATGTCGAAAAACCTAATTATGTGTCCATCTAGGGTGTAACGAATATTATTTAATTTATAAAGCAAAGAAATAGCAAAGGTATTATTAAGTCTTTAAACCCTCAACGACCGCGGACACGCCGGCGTTACAGTTAACAAAAGATTTCTTAGAAATTTAATTAATTTCTTAAAAATTTACCTGGAGGTAATGAATTGATGTAATGATTGAAAAAAAATGACGATGACGAATGAGGTAATGATTTAAAAAAAGGTTAATGTCGTTACTCGTTGCCCATAATAATATTGTCCTCTTAACCAATTTTGATCATAAAGGCTTATCTCACCGATACTAGCAATCTTCGCAGAAGGTGGTTTGGTCCCAGGCCCATGAACACACATACTGTTTTCATGTTACTCTCGAGTCTCACAGTCTGATGGGATGAAAATTTGAAAGTCATGTAAATGCTAACGAGGATTTCTTTCTCAAACCGTTCCATAACTACCTGACCCGAACCACACATTGCACATATAGAATATATTAAAAGAATACAAATTACAATAATATTTGTATGTTCCCAGATCCAAGGGTCGAAGACGCAGGCGGAGGAAGGCACGCTGATCATCCTGGCGGCGGGCGACCGCACGCTGTTCGACGACTGCCAGTCCTGCTTCAAGGCGATGAGCAAGAACTCCTTCTACCTTGGTAGTAGTCCACGTCTCCGGTTGCCGGCGCGAGGAAACTTGGTCGTTGACGGACCGCGGCTTTTGGGCTGGCTCATTTGCTGTTTGATGCTCGGAGTGAAAGTGGTTTTGAATTGTTTGGGTGATGCCATTTCTGTCGCGCTTTGTGTGTTCTATGATTGTTTGCACGTTTTGAGTTTTGAACTGGTTGTGTTATGCTATTTCTGATTTTAGATTTTATTAATTAACTGTTATTTTTTTATTCAGAGTATTAGATCTAAAATATTTTTTGTCAACTTCAAAAGTGTATTTTCTATTTTTACTAAGTTTTAATATTACTTTCGATTATTAAAACAGTACCTGGGCTACTGAATTTCGCTCGGAGTTTATGGCCTATTGTACAATTATCTTTTTTTTTAAACTAAAAACTTGAATAAATATAAAAAAAACAAAAGTAAATACTTTGTATGCGAACGAGATTCGAACCCGGACACCTGTTATTGTTGATCTTGCACCTTGGCCGGTTGATCTAGATACTTATGTCCGAGTGTGCAAATTATCGACCATATTTTGCGTGGAATAATGCAAAAGAAAACTGCATGAAAACTGGTAAACACGCGTTTTCTCAGACATATGACTAATCTAGATCGATGGATCACCCCCGAAACCCCCTGCATATTGAATTTCATAAAAATCTTTGGAGCCATTTCCGAGATTCAGATCTCGTTTAAAGATATTAGATATAGTAGTGTGATGCAAGGCATATTTTAGTACGTTTTTTCGCATTTTCTTTTTTTTATTTTTTATTTAGGTTTAGAAGCACATGCTTCGTGGCCAGAAAGTTAAATTACATAGTACATACACAAGCTATTTTTTATATGCATGTTTTTATTTGTAAGTTTGTAGAAAGCTTGAATGAGTCTAAAAAGCCTATTTTTGCACTTTCCTTTATACTCGTAGTTTTGAATATTAGATATTGCTTGGTTTTTTAACCGTCAACGACCAAATCTAAGCGTCTTAAAAACGTCTCAAAAGAAAACTTTCAGTGATGAATGATGAAATGAATGAATGGAAAGTATGAGATAAATTCCTACGAAAAGAAAAATTATAAGAATATTCAATTTTACGGTACTGCAATATGGAATATTATAATTTATAACTATTTTAATAATGTTAGATTTAGTTTTTAAATATTTATATTGACGATGCTTATAGGGCATATTGTATATCCTTAATTTTTTTATTTCTTAAATTAAGATTGATGAATTCCAAGTTTTATTTCAAATAGTAGAAAGGAAGGTTGCGGGTGACCTTTTGGACACAATATGAAATTACTGCTTGTAATAATCTAGATTTTGTGTCAATCTGGGGCAAGCTATCTTCATCGTAAGTTTGGTTAAAATTCGTCGAGCCGTTAAGTTTGTCGTTTCAAAGTACGTGTACGTGAGCAGTCGCCTCTATTGTGCTAATTTCTGAGACTGCTGAATCGGTTTCGACGGATTTTTTTCTGGTAAAGGTGGTAAATTTAGTTTACTCATTTAGTGTAGTTAAAATATAACGAGAGTATTGTTCGACCGCGGTCCGCAGGCGAGATCGGCAACGCGTCGAAGATGAACTCGGTGCTGCAGGTGGTGTGCGGCGTGTCGCTGGCGGCGCTGGCCGAGGGCCTGGCGCTGGCCGACCGCGCCGGCCTCAGCCAGGCCGACCTGCTCGACGTGCTGGCGCTCACGCCGCTCGCCTCGCCGCACCTCATACTCAAGGGCCGCGGTCGGTATAATCTCTATATTCATATTCCACTCGATCGATTCGACCGATTTTGTTTTCATGGCGCACGGATTGACGCCTTAACCTTAGCCAATTTGTATACTTTATGACACTCGCTAAGAAGACGAATTAAACGACGTATGAATCGGCCGAATCGGTTAAACCGTTTAATAATTACGAAGAAATATAGGATCAAACATACATACATACGAATCGAACGCAACCTCCTTTGGGGCCTCGCTGCAGTCTGTATAAAAATATAATTGTAGTAGTATATATAATAGTAGTTGTAAAGTGTATATTTAATAAAATACCACACTAATGTCGCCACTTAAACAATTTAAATTAAAAATTGAAAATGTGCTATTGAGCAAAGCATATTATCTCGTCGCGGAATATTTTATTGACGCAAATGTGGGGAATCACTATTGTCATTGATACGTAATATTGTTTTAGAAAAGAGCAACTTGATGAGGTTTTTGTCGGCTCTTCTCGGCAGAACTGCCTTTCGAAGCGGTGATAAATTCCTCACACATTTACATAATTATGTTAAATTTAAATTTAAAACGTAAAATTAACGATTCAAAAGGGGTCGTAAAAGTCTATCACCTACCGTGTTAAATATTCTCATATCTAAGACTAAATAACATTTGGCCCCCCGCAGCGATGATCGAGTCGTCGTACTCGACGCACCAGCCGCTGACGCACATGCAGAAGGACCTGAAGCTGGCGCTGGGGCTGGGCGACGCGCTGGAGCAGTCGCTGCCGCTCACCGCCACCACCAACGAGATCTTCAAGCACGCCAAGCGCCTCGGCTACGCCAACCACGACGTCGCCGCCGTCTACATACGCGCCAGGTTCTGACTCCGCACACCCACACCCACACCTACACTTACACCTACACCTCTGCCCCCTTGGTATCCTGTAACCGATTGTTTATATGGGTGTGTGGTACTCGACGACTGAATCCGCACACTTACCGCTAACGAGATCTTCGAGCGTATCGGCTACGACGACCGCGACATGGCCACCGTCTGTGTTTGTGCTAGGTTCTGAACCCAGCAGATACGTAGACCTGTGCCCTTGGTATTCTGTAACTATTTTATTGTGTGTGAGTATGTGGTCCTCGATAGCTGAATCCGCGTACACTTAGCAGGTGCCTTTATCACCTGTCGAGATATAAAAGTTGGTACAGAATGCTGAAACGCTAACGGTTTTAGATAGACTTGTGTATTAAAAAGTTTTACATGATGATTTCTTTCTGACTGGAAGGCACACCGATTTTATATTACTTTTTTTAAAAGTTATTATTTCGCTCTCAGGAGTGGAATTTTCTTTTAGATGTTTATGGGACCAGCCTTTTAAAAAAATTAAAATCAATAATTGGTGAATAAAGATTTTCCTTCTTTTTTATGATATTTAATTTAGACATAATTATTACATTACGTCTGTCTGAAGCAAGTATAAATATAAAATCTTTCATAAATATTTTTTTTTTCAATTCTCTTGTTAATGACTTCGAAGCATGCTAGTTAAGCACGTACTACACGTACTACTTAGCCAATATCACGTAGAATGGAGAAGACACCAAGTAGATTGGTCAATAAAATAAAATAAAATGAATAAACTATATTAAATTATAATGTGTATAATTTTTTTCATGATTTTAATTTTACCAACATGATAAGCTCAATGGTGAATTATAACTAAAAAGGACTTGCAAGAAATAAAATAACTTTTAGAAACATTGTTTTAAGAAGTAAAACTTCGTTAAAATTATTTTTGTTATATCTAAATTGATAAATATGAAAACAAGAATATCGTGCTGCGAAGCTGCGAGCTTGTTTATTTTTTATTCATTACATGCATTTAAATCTTACTAATAAGAAAACGTCTCAAAAGTGTCCTTAAAAAAAGACACACAATTCGAAATTGTGCACTTTTTTCATATCTCTTTTATTCATTGCTTTTGGATGACAAAATTAAAACGCACGTTGTTTCGTTTAAAAAAATTACTTTATGTGGTGTGCGTTAGTTTGAGTTTGTGTTTAGACAATTAGAACGTATTATTTTGGACTTTTTGGAGAGATATTTGTTAGGAAATGTGTATCTATGGTTTTATATATAATTACTCCCTATGTAACAGAAGCTATTTTAAAATATACCACGAACGAATCCCCGGACAAAACAGTAAATCATATCGTACATTGATGATTGTACGTTGATTTATACTCGTAGAAAAAGCTTTTAACATAATATAATCTACATAAAATAATATTGTGTGCTATTTTAAATATTACTTCTTAATAAATATGTTGTTTATAAAATTCATATTACACGGGTTTAGCTAAAACCGCTTAGCGTTAAAATAAGGCCACATAGTTGTATTTCTGTTTCAGTCCATATTGTTTCTAAGAATATCAATATGTATCAATGCAATAATTTTGAAACTAAATCTAAATTATTGACAATATTATAAATACATATTTTGTATGTTAAATATTTTAAAAATCTATCAACTGTACTTCCATGTAATAATTTCTTTTAATCGAACAGAGTTTTACATATTGTCGATTTTTGTGTGGCATTTAATTTTTATTTTTTTTTATTGAATGATAGTTTTATATATTTATGGCTGGATTGAAACAGATTTAATGTACTCGCTGGTCCTCTTTCTCCTTACATCTCTAATCTTCCACGTCATGAATGCGTGTATGTTCTAAAGGTATTTTACTTTAAAAGTAAGTGACAGCACTTGCATGAAAAAAGATAGATCGTGAATAATGTAATATTTTTCCAAAATTAAACTATTTTTAATTAAAGTTTCATCATTATCGTTACGACATTGTTTCTCTTACGATCTCTCTGTTTTCATCGTGTAAAATTGTTAAAATGATGTATGGACGAATTGTAAAGAATTACGTCTTTTATAATTTAAGTTTATATGTTAGATGAACTAATAATAAAATCGATCTTAGTACATTGATATTGTTTCATTTCGTATACGATTTTTGAAGTAAAACTTCTTTAGGCGTGCTTCTTTAGGGGTAGTCAATAAATAGGAAAACTGAGTCTCGACGAGTTTTAAAAAAAATATTATATTTTGAAACATTATTTATAAAAATATATACATATTTATGATTAATAATTTTATAAAAAATATTATATTTAAATTTTGATTTGTTTTAATTTAATTGTGGTATCTGCCAGAGACAAAGAAGTTTTACTTCACCCGCGAGTAAACGTTACACGCACTCAATTTTTACATTGATTTTGTACACGAATTAAATGTATAGTGCCTCCCATATATGAAATGGGTTTAAAAATTCTAATAAGCATTGGAGATTTATTCATTTTCATCATAATTTTATATAATGTTTTTGGATATATTGTATTGTACCCGGGGTGTATTTAGGGTCGATTAATTCAAGTTTTACTTCATGATATCTCGAACAAATCAAACTTATTGAACTCATAACTGAAGCAATCAATACTAAAGTGGCCTAAACTTAAGAACAAAATGTGTATAAAATGCGGTGTGCTTTGTATTAATTTACATTGGATATATTAGATAATATATAATTAAAATGATAAAATTTATTAAATATTACTAAATACATAGTATACATATATTGGAGCAGATTATGATGATGAGATTAAAATAAAGGTGTTAGGCCGCTTTTGCTCTCGCACAGCTTTAAAATAGAGGAACAACATAACTTCCATTTAAAATAATAGTTAAATTTTAATTTCACGAAGAGACTATTAAATTTTAGTTGAAGAAATACGTGAAGTTTAAAATGTTGATTTAGTCTAAGTATGAATCATATTTTGAGAGGAATGTTTAATCTGTTAAGATATACATACATACGTGTAATACGTATGTAATATGTAGTATATTTGATTGTAAGCTTCTTTGAAATGAATTGAAATAAAGAGCACTGTGTTGTTTAAGTATTAATATGTATTTTATTTATGAGATCAGCTTGCTTTCATATAGATTAAATCTATACAAATTAATAACATCGAAATATCTGTTTGTAATGTCAAAATGACAACTATTTACAGAATTCATATGAAAGTATATACGGTACTATTTTTTAAGAAAAAAAAAAACATTTTATAATGTTTGTCTGTTCCGGTCTAATCTCCGAAACGGTGGACCGATTTTGACGGAACTTTCACTGGCAGATAGCTGATGAAATACAAACTTATTTATGTAATCAATAAAATAAATATACTTGAGGGGGAAATATTTTTTTTACTTTTAACGTAACAATTGAGTATGTTAAAACTAAACCCAAAATTAATTTTTCTTGCTACGGAATCTTCGACATGAGTCGGGCTCGCACTTGCTGTTCTTTCCGCTTAAAATTAACGTGATTTCTAACTCGCATGTATCAGCTTCACATATAATTATGTTATTAAGTCTTGGAGGCCGATTTTAACCTAATTATTATTGTCGTATCGATTTAAACTTTGTAAGTAGGTACTGCGCGAAAAGGCAATGGAAGACCAGTGGTAACGCGCTCCCTTAGGAATCCAAATGAAGCAGCTTCAAATCCGGGTCTCTCACCTCTGATATTTTCAGGTGCAAATCATTTCCAACTTGATTATTACTTACCTTACGGTGAAGGAAAACGTCGTGAGGAAACCTACAGGTCTTAGAAAAACAAACGAGTTTTCGAAAGACATGTGAAATCTAGCGTCGTGGTCTGTGGCCTGACCCCTCTCGTATTTAAGGGAGATCCGTGCTCAGAAGTGGGACTTTAAAAAGGGCTAAATACATACGTAGTATTCCACATGACTTCCAAATATTTTTTTATTTAAATGGGACATGCTTTTGCGCATACCACATACATACATTACAAGTTGAAGAGTGAAAGTCTTTTTTTATTTTATTTCTCAAAAACCATTAATAGTGTTAAGAGACATAAAAATATTGAAACATCTCCAGGTAAATATTCTAGTATTCGATACAAATAAAACTCAAAATATACGTCAATCAGATATCTAATGAAGTGCAATTTCCTGCGAGCCCTGGATTGATTTCGATAATGACCTTCGAAGACGACGGCAGATTTACGACAAATTAGTGCTAAAAATACGGTGATTTACAGCGGGCCGTCACGCCACGCCGCGGTTAGCGCATAAAAATTGTATGAGCGATGTAGGAACGAGTTAAAACGAAGTTTATAAGTGAGAGGGGAGTAGTCGTTGGTACGTTTTATTGAATTTGTCTTGTAATATATTAAAATTATTGTAAAAATTGTAACGTGAAAGTAATGATTACTCCTTAAAGAAACAGATATTTTCTTCAGTCCAAAAAGACGAGGTGTGAGGATACCTACTTTTAAATTTCGGCATAATATAGTAATTATATTTAACTTTTACAATATAGAATAGCTAATCAAATTAAGTTGAATTCTGTAGATTAGTAAATAGTGATACCTATAATAAATTAAAACAATATTATTACATCACTAATTTCAAAGCAAGGAGATAACGAATTAAAAAGGTTGCAGGTTTACAATTTATGTACATTAAACCTTATGATATATTTAAAACTAAATATGTATATCCATAATACTAGCATGATTTATAGTCGTAAAATGTTTACGATACGTTAAAAACAAGTCATGCGATGCCGTGATATCATTACGAAAGAAATTTGTATAGGGAAATTAGAAAAATGCCAGTCGGATTGTAGATTTACCCCAAAACATGCTGAGCTGTTGTAATTTCGGCAAAATCGAATACAACCTCTTTGGGATATTAATTTAACATACAACTATTTTATTGATATAAATAAAATTATTAATCTATGGCAAAACTTTAAAACTAGTTTTGATTTTGTTAAATTTTAAATATTTATAATAATCAATAATAACACGGTTCGAATGAATAAATTTTGCGTTAAATGAGCTTAGGTTTTATTTAGGTGTACTTAAAATTAAATTGTGCGGTGTAAACAATGTCTTTTCTAACGGAATATTTTGACGAATATCGACAACATCCCATTCGGAAAACTAAAATGTAAGTTGTATTTGTTTGTAAAATAATTATGTCTCTTAATGGGACATCTAAGCAATGATTCGTGAACAGCATTTGATTATTGATAGGATTTCGGTCGTTTGTTTTGACACTTACCTAATAGTAAGTTTTATTGTTATTACAGATGTCGTCCAGAAGACAGATGGGCGAAACTGGAAGGGAAATGGTTAGATCCAAAAACGGGCTCGGAAGATGTTAGTTAAACATTTTGAATGTTAATATTTGTTTATTTTGTTCTTTCGAAGGAATTATCCTAGTTTATAGGGTTTTGCAATTCCTTGTCTAGTTAAATGTAATGAATGTGTGCATGTGTAGTGTATCAACTACCTGGTATCCATAACACAAGCCTCGTAGCTTAGCATGGAACTAGATGGTCCTGTGTGTTAATGTCCCGACATATTAACATCATTTTCCCTTATTCAGAATCAGAAACCCTTCGTGTCTACTTTACTAAGGATTTTTGAGATTCTTGTTCAATAAAACCATGAACGACATGCTATAGTCGTGTTAGTAATACGTTGTAGGACCGCTTGCAAACACACTGCAAATCATAATATATTATGATCTTGTATATTTTCGTTTATTTGAAGTTTTATTAGTTACAAAATAGGTAATAAAATCACATCGAAAATCATTCAGTATTATTGTAAACAAATACATATATTCCTTACCTTGTTAAATTAGTCGTAAATGAATTATTGAAAACTAAAACTTATTTGATTTTTTTTTATTTTGCTCAGAAAGCATGGACGGACGAAGAAATAGAGCAATTTATCAAATCAACTATGAGGAGTTTACGCGGACAGTCTACGTACTACAACGATTATTGTGCGCATCTCTCGCCTGGTTAGATAGATACATCTGTTTTAATATTAAAAAGAGAAAAAAAATGTTTTGTTTGTTTGTTTGTACCGAATATGCTCCGAAACTACTAAACCGATTTAGATGAAATTTGGTAAGAAGATAGTTTGAGATCCTGGGAAGGACATAGGATAGTTTTTATCCCGGAAATCATCCGTTAAGGGGTGAAAATGGGATTTAAAGCTTGTATGGGGAAGTAACCTAGGGACGAACCCGAGCGAAGTGAGCGTGAGTCGCTAGTAATATATAAAATAATACTATGCAAAACTTTTGCAAATTGACATTTTATTTGGAATATTATTTCATTTAGAATAACCCCCATTACTTAATTATAATCCATAGTAAAAATTGTTTACTATTGATCAGAGGTACTTAACATATTATGTATAGTAATTAGTATGTGCAGTAAGCATAAGTGATTTCATGCTGTCAGTCACATTGTTGATAATAACTTGTTCTATCTTAGACTTTAATATTGTAGGAATCGTAAAAAATAAATATATTTTAATGTTTTATTTACATTTTTGTTTCTAAAAACCAAGCCTTATTCTAACGTAAATAAACACATTGTATTAATTTGAAACATAACTCGTATGTTGAATAAATCCGTAGCGTGTGCGGCGATGGCTCCGGCTATATCCGAGCTAAGCCTTATGTCGTCGATCATATTTGTGCGTTTTCTTCGGAATAAATAGTATAGGTAACTTAAAGAAAATTTAGTTGAGCTTTAATTAGCTTTAGTATGCCACCATTGAATGATTCGATTTGTCTATTACAAATATTGTCTTCAAATATTCTAGCAAGTCATAAAATTTGTTTCTTTCACACAGAATTCAAAACAAGGCCCTTTAAACCTCGCGATAAAAAGCAACCTCTATGTAAGTCTGAAGGTGTAAAGGAAGAAGAGGCTCCATTACCACCAGCCCCGAAGCTGGCCATCAAAGACACTGAACTCATGAAAGTGGCGAGAGAATTATACGAGAGAGATATGGATAAGCCCACACTGGAACCTCTTCCTACACATTTGAGGCGTTAGTAAATGTTGTATATAAGTTAAAATATTCTTTACCTACAAAGTGTCTATATAACAATAGTTAAATCGTTAAGTTAAATCAAATGCATACATAATAGTATAAAGATACGTTACATGTTAAATAAAACCTTTCATTAGACTTATAGAACTTTAATAATTTGGGCAGATTTTCATAAAAAATCTCGATTAAAAGTAACATTTTAGTATTCCAATAATAACAGAAATCGCATCAATATTGAGCATTCTCTTTGGGAACTATGAAGACATAGAATAAAAAAAAGAAGACAATAATATGATTATATAAATTACATATATGTCTTTCCAACGTATAGGCTTTCTTTATGTAAAATAGCACATTGATCCGTGACTCCACAGGCACATGACCCGTAAAAAAATTACAAGCCTACATACATTTGAAGTGAAACTTCTTTAGAATCGTTGTGATTTAAAACTCGATGAAACAGAAATGCAACACTAAAAAGAGACAAACGCATAAAAAAATATAATAGGATTAAGCCTGCGAGAAAATGAAATAGAATACATTGCCATGTTGCCATGGTAACCGTTGTTATTTGAGATACACAGGAAGTGAAAAATAATAAAATTAATTACTGAATAATATGTAATGTATATTTATGTCAAATAAAATAACTTTTAAACTTGGTAAAACTATTATAAAAAGAATAAACCTTATAATTATCCTACTCCTGATACTCTATATTCATCTTATTCTCTTGTAGATTAAGTACTTTTCTGAACTTTCACTTCTACTACACGTGAATTACACACACACGTATTTTTATTTTCTTTACAAAAACGATGAAACAACAATGGAAGCTTTTTAAATAAAACTATCTTTTCGGATTTTGTCGCGGATTTATTTGTATTTTTGTTTCCCGACGTTTCGAATGCTTTACAGCATCCATGGTCACGGGAGAGACTGAGGTGTTACATGTCTTTAAGATATAGTTGTTACAGACAGCCTACCCACAATTAACAAAATGAAAATTGCACCAATTACATTACAATATTTTAACTTTAAATATTTTTATAATTTTAATTATAATTGAATATGGAAAATTATTTATTTAATTTTTGCTATTATTTTTATAATTATTACAATTTTAAAAATATTAATTAGCAATCTATATTTAGTGTTGCCATTATTATATTTATAACCATAAGAAAAATATAAAATATAGTATTAATTATTTAAGCCACAATTGATCTATGTGTAATTTGAAAAAGTTAAGATTAATTAAAAATAATAATTTTAATTTAAATTTGCTATTATTTAAAAACAAATTATTAAGCAACACATTACTACATACATTTACAAATGAAAAAGTGAAAAAATATTATCAATCAGAAATGCTATCATTTTGATCTACACAGTAAGAACTTACTACATCTACCTGTCTGTTATGTTTAGATTTATTATTAGATTTTATTATATTAATAACAGGATCCCATGACGATGGTAGTACCCAGCCATCTTCCCTATTGAAATTAGGATGTTTTTTAATTTTTATGGCTTCTCGAATCATTCTAGGGCGATATCGGTTTTCTTTCGCCAGGATTTGAGGCCTATCGAAGCGAATATAATGGCTCGGGCGGTCCTGACTGTGTTTGCAGACAGCGGATGTTGTATTGCGACGGTGCTTCACATCAGCTATGTGTTCTTTGACCCGGGTTCTAATGGATCTCTTTGTTTGTCCGATGTAAGAGAGCCCACAATCACAATCAAGCTTGTAAACTCCTGCATCTTGTAGAGGGATGTGGCACTTGACAGGTGGTAAGAACTGACTAATTTTCTTTGGCGGCTTGAAGTAAGTCTTAATTGAAGCTCGCTTTAGAATGTAGCCAATCTTGTCAGTGACTCCTTTCATGTATGGCAAGACTGCAGGGACGCGCTCGACTGTGGCTGGTTTTACTCGGTCACTGTGACGCAGGCGCGGCACTTGCAGCTTGTTGTCACGCAGAACTTGCTTGACATGTTGCAGTTCTCCGGCCAGGTGTTGCTCGTCACAGATCCCGCGCGCTCTCTGAAACAAAGATTTTCCCACGGTAGCTAACTGTGAAGGATGGTGGTGAGATTCACCGTTCAGGTACCTATCAGTATGGGTCTTCTTTCTATACACAGTATGACTCAAGGTGTTATCTGTGTTACGTTTAACTAATACATCTAGGAAAGCTAAGGTATTGTCTGATTCTAATTTTCCTAGATGTATTAGTTAAACGTAACACAGATAACACCTTGAGTCATACTGTGTATAGAAAGAAGACCCATACTGATAGGTACCTGAACGGTGAATCTCACCACCATCCTTCACAGTTAGCTACCGTGGGAAAATCTTTGTTTCAGAGAGCGCGCGGGATCTGTGACGAGCAACACCTGGCCGGAAAACTGCAACATGTCAAGCAAGTTCTGCGTGACAACAAGCTGCAAGTGCCGCGCCTGCGTCACAGTGACCGAGTAAAACCAGCCACAGTCGAGCGCGTCCCTGCAGTCTTGCCATACATGAAAGGAGTCACTGACAAGATTGGCTACATTCTAAAGCGAGCTTCAATTAAGACTTACTTCAAGCCGCCAAAGAAAATTAGTCAGTTCTTACCACCTGTCAAGTGCCACATCCCTCTACAAGATGCAGGAGTTTACAAGCTTGATTGTGATTGTGGGCTCTCTTACATCGGACAAACAAAGAGATCCATTAGAACCCGGGTCAAAGAACACATACACACTGAAACAAAGATTTTCCCACGGTAGCTAACTGTGAAGGATGGTGGTGAGATTCACCGTTCAGGTACCTATCAGTATGGGTCTTCTTTCTATACACAGTATGACTCAAGGTGTTATCTGTGTTACGTTTAACTAATACATCTAGGAAAGCTAAGGTATTGTCTGATTCTAATTTTCCTAGATGTATTAGTTAAACGTAACACAGATAACACCTTGAGTCATACTGTGTATAGAAAGAAGACCCATACTGATAGGTACCTGAACGGTGAATCTCACCACCATCCTTCACAGTTAGCTACCGTGGGAAAATCTTTGTTTCAGAGAGCGCGCGGGATCTGTGACGAGCAACACCTGGCCGGAAAACTGCAACATGTCAAGCAAGTTCTGCGTGACAACAAGCTGCAAGTGCCGCGCCTGCGTCACAGTGACCGAGTAAAACCAGCCACAGTCGAGCGCGTCCCTGCAGTCTTGCCATACATGAAAGGAGTCACTGACAAGATTGGCTACATTCTAAAGCGAGCTTCAATTAAGACTTACTTCAAGCCGCCAAAGAAAATTAGTCAGTTCTTACCACCTGTCAAGTGCCACATCCCTCTACAAGATGCAGGAGTTTACAAGCTTGATTGTGATTGTGGGCTCTCTTACATCGGACAAACAAAGAGATCCATTAGAACCCGGGTCAAAGAACACATACACACTGAAACAAAGATTTTCCCACGGTAGCTAACTGTGAAGGATGGTGGTGAGATTCACCGTTCAGGTACCTATCAGTATGGGTCTTCTTTCTATACACAGTATGACTCAAGGTGTTATCTGTGTTACGTTTAACTAATACATCTAGGAAAGCTAAGGTATTGTCTGATTCTAATTTTCCTAGATGTATTAGTTAAACGTAACACAGATAACACCTTGAGTCATACTGTGTATAGAAGAAGAAGACCCATACTGATAGGTACCTGAACGGTGAATCTCACCACCATCCTTCACAGTTAGCTACCGTGGGAAAATCTTTGTTTCAGAGAGCGCGCGGGATCTGTGACGAGCAACACCTGGCCGGAAAACTGCAACATGTCAAGCAAGTTCTGCGTGACAACAAGCTGCAAGTGCCGCGCCTGCGTCACAGTGACCGAGTAAAACCAGCCACAGTCGAGCGCGTCCCTGCAGTCTTGCCATACATGAAAGGAGTCACTGACAAGATTGGCTACATTCTAAAGCGAGCTTCAATTAAGACTTACTTCAAGCCGCCAAAGAAAATTAGTCAGTTCTTACCACCTGTCAAGTGCCACATCCCTCTACAAGATGCAGGAGTTTACAAGCTTGATTGTGATTGTGGGCTCTCTTACATTGGACAAACAAAGCGATCCATTAGAACCCGGGTCAAAGAACACATAGCTGATGTGAAGCACCGTCGCAATACAACATCTGCTGTCTGCAAACATAGCCAGGACCGCCCAAGCCATTATATTCGTTTCGATAGACCTCAAATCCTGGCGAAAGAAAACCGATATCGCCCTAGAATGATTCGAGAAGCCATAGAAATTAAAAAACATCCAAATTTCAATAGGGAAGATGGCTGGGTACTACCATCGTCATGGGATCCTGTTATTAATATAATAAAATCAAATAATAAATATAAACATAACAGACAGGCAGATGTAGTAAGTTCATACTGTGTAGATCAAAATGACAGCTTATCAGATTGATATTTTTCATTTTTCATTTGTAAAAGTATATATTAATAGTGTTGCTTAGTAAGTTGTTTTTAAATAATAGCAAACTAAATTAAAATTATAATCCTTAATTAATTTTAACTTTTTAAATTACACATTGAACAATTATATGGCTTAAATAATTAATACTATATTTTATATTTTTCTTTATGGTTATAAATATAATAATGGCAACACTAAATATAGATTACTAATTAATATTTTAAAATTGTAATAATTATAAAAATAATAGCAAAAATTAAATAAATAATTTTCCATATTCAATTATAATTAAAATTATCAAAATGTTTAAAGTTAAAATATTGTAATGTAATTGGTGCAATTTTCATTTTGTTAATTGTGGGTAGGCTGTCTGTAACAACTATATCTTAAAGACATGTAACACCTCAGTCTCTCCCGTGACCATGGATGCTGTAAAGCATTCGAAACGTCGGGAAACAAAAATACAAATAAATCCGCGACAAAATCCGAAAAGATAGTTTTATTTAAAATGTCAAATATTCGCGTAAATCTAAGAAAGTATTAACAATGGAAGCATTATTTTAATTATTTACAGTGATGGGTTACGTCCGCCCCTGTCTATACAAAACTGGTATAAGTGAGTATCAAGAGAGTATCGCACGTCTTGCCTACGAGTTGATTCGTGACGAGCGTATCCCGCGCTACGTCGCACACAACGGCTGCCGGCCCGTGTGGGGGCTTCCCCCCGAGGGAGTGAGGCAGCCCGAGCTGGATGGCGCACCTTTCGATGGAGAAAGATTGTACTGAGTTTTTGTAGTAAAACGTGTTTATCCTATAAAAAATATTTTCACGACATATGGTATAGTTCAAAATATAGACGCATGAAACCATAGAAACTAATATATCCAAGTAACTTAATATTATTGTCCTAATAAAAGAAAGACAATTCTAATTTTTTTGTTTTTTTTTTAAGTATATTTTTGTCAATTTTTAACAGTTCTGTCACTCTGTCACACGAACATACTCGTATTTTTAGGGAAATGATAATAAATAGAACAGCGCTCAGAAAATAAAATTTTACTCCACAGATCGGTTGCTTAGTTGGATAATACGAAACCCATTGGTTTGTTGCCAACATGTAATGTATACAGCCGCTGTATGTCGCTGGCACCTATGCTTTGATATTTTTGCAATGTTATACAAATTTTCATGATTTATTTTTATAATAAACATTCTTATAACAACTTCAGTCAATTTCATTCTTGTTGCGAAATATTATTTCATCGGTATGGAAATTCATGTGAATGATTTGAGATGAGGTTCAGTTCAGTTAATATAAACAACACAATCATCATTGTCCATATAAATGGATGAAAGCGAGTGGCAAAGGAGAAAGATTTTTTTTCGGATGCGAATATACAGTCAATAATAAATAATAATTAAAAGTGATTAATATTTATTTATTATGGAGGAACCATGTTGCATCGCATTGTATTAAGTACTGTAGTACTTAATTTAAAAAATTCACGTCAGATAGCGAAGTCACGATCTACCAAGCAACATTGGTTAGCTCTCTAGTTCAACGTAAGCGACGATCGTTCATCGTACCCACAAAATATCTATTTTCCTTAAAATTCCCTGGCAGGTACACTATAATTTGGCTCCAATTTTGGATTAATGGGAGCTTTTCGCTTTTCGTATAGTTTATTCCTTTGATGATGCATCGTTGAGTACTTATTATTTACTCTATTATATAGAAAATTTACCCCTATTTACATTTTAATCCACACAACTCTCCTTATTTAAAAACATAATTTATACGTTTGTATAGCAATCAAACGAGTGACTCCACAGCTAGGTACTTTACGTAAGAATTATACTTTAATTTATTGCAAAGATAGTTAATTCCCAATAAACAAAGCCTTAAAAGTATTTAATATCCCTCCTCGATCGGTTAAGGTATCACGGAAGACCCAGCGGAAATAAACCCAATACTTAACTGGTAAAACAACAAATAACCAATTACGTGGAAGTTTCGGACCTTTTAGGAAACAAAGGGTTCCTTTGTTCCGTGACGACGGTATTTTTGCTGGCTGGTGGCCAAGCGTGAACTGTACGAGTTCGAGTTGAATTGTCTGTAGGACGTTTTATTGGGCTTCAAATGTGCGATCTCTCATCGCATCGAGTTTTGATGTCTTCCGTGCTTAAGACTGTCTCAATGTCAATTTTCGTTTAGTGTTAGATTAAGCAAAACAGTTTTTTCGATCAAAAATCAGTAGGTACATATTATAAATTACAGTTCAGTTTGTACGCGCTAATCTCACAAACTACTGTATTGGTTTTCATACGGTTTTCCATATTATAAAAAAAAACTGCGGAATACCTACCTATCTACAAAAGTTAGAGGAAGACTATAATTTAAAAAAAACTTTAAAAGTAAACTACTAGAATAATGATATTTGTTAATTAAATCTCATGGTATCGTTTCTTCTGGCGGAGTTAAGGTATGCTCTAGTAAATAATAAATAATCTATATAAATAAAAATGAATGTTGCTAAGCAAAAACTCGAAAACTGCTCGACCAATTCAGCTTTTTTTTTTGGTATGTTCCGGGAAAGTTTTAATAAAGGGAAAAAATGAAAAATTAACGAAAAAAAATTATATGGCTAATGCTGGCTAATAACTATTTATATCTATTTATAATGTACCTAGCGACGAACCCAAGTGAAGCGAGGGTGAGCCGCTAGTAATAAATAAAAATGAATGTTGGTAAGCACATAACTCAAGAATAGCTGGACCAATTTGGCTAATTATTTTTTTTCGTATGTTCCTTAAGGTCCACGGAAGGTTTTAATAAAGAGAAAATATGAGAAATTAACGAAAAAAAAAATTATATGGCTAATGCTGGCTAATAGTTAGACATTTTCGAAGATACTCACAAACGAAAATATCGGCATTCATCTTCCGCGCAAAGACCAGTGTGACACGTGTTGCAGTTATAAAAAGGGTAACATTTCGAAAGAAGAATACGAAAGCCATATTGCGAAGAAAACTGAAGCCCGTGAAGCCAAAAAGAATGTCATAGAAAGTGCAAACGAAAAGGATGTAGTTATAACAGTCGACGTTCAAAGTGTTTTGCTCGCTCCAAATCTATTGGCTAGTGCATTGTACTAAAAATTATAATTACAATGTCATAACTTTACGGTTTATAACGTGCTATCCAAAGATGTAAAAATTTACTTTTGGCACGAAGCAGATGGTAATGTAACTGCTAATGAATTCAAATTTTGTTTAATAGACTACTGTCTACGGACGTCTGTTCTGATGGACGCGGATACCGAAACCGAAACCAAAATTTGTCTAGTGCCCTAAGCGATTTGGCGCAAAGGAGGCAAATTTGTATTGAACAATTCTATCTGGAAAAAGGGCACACTATGATGGAGGTAGATAGTGTTCACTCCACTATTGAGCAATACACAAAACCACCAATATTCGCTCCCAGTGATTACATCGCAAGGATGAGTCAAGCTCGACCTCAAAAGCCCTATGATATCAAATCTGTTCACTATGATTTCTTTCTCAATTTCGAAGAGATGAGGAATGAAGAAAGGAGATCCTGTCGTGGTGGACATTAGGGGTCTTAAATATTTATCCGATGGATCCATATTTTATAGGTTAAGACATGTCGATGAGTGGTCGGTACTTCCACAGAGTAGAAACAACCAAATGGTAATGGTAGTTTGATTATATAGTAGTTTGATAACTTGTAATTCAACTGTTACATAATGTCTTAAGATGTGTATTCAGAGAAATATATTTGTTTTTGCAATAAAATAAATAGTTTTTTAATTCAATAATTGTAGGCATTTTGTTTCAAGAGCAATGATGTGATACATAAAGCGCATGACAATTATAATATGTGTTAACTGAACTTGTTTTTATTTTTTTTCACTAAGATACTATTTTTCATTTCATGTAATAATATCACAGTAAAAAGCAGCAAAACATGTAGCTGATATTTATATTTTTTGTTGTAGTTGGTTTCACTATATTTTGTTCAGTAGAAGGTTTTTGTCGATTATCTCATATAATTGATTTTAATGTGTACATAAGAGGTTTCAAAGTCGCAACGATGACATTAGGCATTTAGAAAATTATAATATTAGCAGGAACAGGATATCCGATGTAAATATACGTACTACAAGGGTACGCATCTCAAAAATTCTTCGTACCTCAGAAATGGAATCTTGACCTTCCCACAGTCAAGACACCGTGTTAAGAGCAACCTCCACTAAATATCACTTTGAAGTGAACGTAACGCTTACGCGATGCAGCCTACTAGTGCCACCATCTAGTGGAAACACATTGGACTTATATTATTGCAACATTTTTCTCATATTCTTATTTTTCTCACATTACATATTTTTTGGAAATTCTTATTGAAATAAACATTATTATCTTATATTATATTATACAGAGGCCGAATCTATAGTTTATAGAGTTTTTGTCTGTCTGTCTGTATTTTATATTAAAATATGAATATTTATTGATATATTCATATCTTAAAATATTGTCGGCTGGCACCGACTTTAAAAATAGCCGATTAGGTATCTATTCTAAATGAAAATCCCCGTTTAGTTATTTTTTATTATTTTAATGCCTGGAAGTCGGTTTTTTTTATTTTTATTTTTTCCCATTTAGTGTAGACGTATTAAGCAGGTAATTGGTAACAAGAAAGTTTTTAAATAACATATTCGATTAAACAATTTATTTTAAAAAATAATTTGTTGTAGATTTTTTTTTTAAATACCGCTCGACCGATTTTGATAAAATTTATATGGGACCACCTGGGAAGTGTGCCCTTTGAAACAAAAAAAATATTTCCAAATCGGTTCAGGCGTCTTCGGTGAACATACATAAAAAAAAAAGATTCCGACGAATTGAGAACCTCCTCCTTTTTGGAAGTCAGTTAGTAAATTTTTACCTTTAAATATTATAACCTTTAGCCCTTATATTAGATAAATTTTAAATAAATCTGATATACGTATTGTTTTATTTCATATTTTAAAGGTAAGGTGAGTATAGATAGGTTTCAAACCAACTTTAGTCCCCTATCTTACCCCTTTATGGGATAAATATCGAAAAATCCTAAAACATGTATTTAATTGTATGAAGAGCATTAATACCAACTTTTAAAGTAATTCTGATCAAAAATATTTTTTTGGGTTATATTATAACGTGTTTTCCCGTGGGAAGAGATAATCTCTCGGTAAAAAGTAGCCTATGTTACTCTCCAACTCTCTGAATTACTCTATACAAAAAATCACGGCAATCCGTCGTCCGTACGTATTGTTTTCCTTTAAAAGTAGGTTTCATACAAACTTTTGTTCTCTATTTTACCCCCTTATGGGATGAATTTCAAAAAATGCTAAAACACGTATCTATTTAATTATGTTGAAGAGCATTAATACCAAGTTTCAAGTAATTCTGATCATACTTATATATTTTTTGCATTGTAATATAACGTGGTTTTCCGTGGGAATGAGATGACCTTCCGCGATAAAAAACCTATGTCACTCTCCAGCTCCTCGACTATCTCCATACCAAAAATCATCGTTTCGACGTGAAAGAAAGACAAACAAACAAAGAAAGAAACACACTTTCACATTTATAATATTAAGTATGGATACATATATTTATTTCTTATTTATATTGATCATCTAACAAAATTTGATCTCTCTCAGGGACATATAATATCATATGCAGATGATACTGCTTTGATATTTGCTGCGGATACGTGGGCAGATGTTTTCTCATCTGCACAGATAGGTATAAATGCAATTACTAATTGGCTATACAGTAATAAACTTTCACTCAATATTAGGAAAACAAAATATATAGCTTTTTCATTAAGAAAACCTATTCGAAACCTTGAAAATTTTAACTTAATAATTCATTCATATAATTGTTTAACTAAGGACAATAGCTGTTCCTGTCTATCACTTGAATCTGTTGATTATATTAAATATTTAGGGGTCATAATAGATCAGAATTTAAATTTTAAACAACATATTGACACACTTAGCAGAAGAACTCATAAATTAATATATATTTTTAAAACCATTAGACACGTATTGGATCCGGATATATTAAAACGAGTTTACTTAGCTTTATGTCAGTCTATTATAACGTACTGCATATCAACGTGGGGCGGTGCTTCTAAAACCGTATTACTTAAGATCGAAATCGCTCAACGTGCAATTCTTAAAGTAGCAACATTTAAACCTTTTCTATATCCTACATCACAACTCTATAATAACTGTAAGGTCCTTACGGTAAGACAACTGTTTATATTAACGATCATTCAGAAACAACATAGTCTACTGCTATATGACCCAACGAACTTAAATAAACGCAGAAAATTTTCTGTAGATACAACTAATTTTAAAACAACTTTTATAAGAAGATTCTTTGCATTTTTAGGACCACACTTATATAATAAACTAAATAAAACATTAGACATTTACTACCTTAATAAAATAGACTGTAAAAAAACTGTATTTGATTACCTGCAAAAATTAACTTATATTGAAACTGAAAACCTTCTTAGTATTCATATCTGATCATAATATTTATTATATAACTTGATCCTGCAATATTGCCTATGTAAAATAATAATACCCAGGCACACAAACGCGCATACACACACACACACACATACACACACACACACACACACACACACACACACACACACACACACACACACACACACACACACACACACACACACACACACACACACATACACAGACACACATTACACACTCCTCTCCTTTAATTGCTCACACACATTACACTCATTACACAAATACTTCTTACAGTCATACATTACACATCTTAAGTGAGAGGAATGATATATTTAGTAATATTAATTAATATCTTTAGTTGATATGTAATTCTTTATTTTTTTGGTAATATTTATGTCACCTAACCGTGGGGATATGGCGCTGACAGCTGATGCACAGGTCTCCTAGTTCGGCTGCAGATGCTATGTTTTAAATATTTGTATGTACCAAATTAGATTTAGTTAGTGTTAAGCAAATATCTTTATGTACTTACTACCTTTTGGAAATAAAGAACTTATTATTATTATTATTATATACAGCCCCGGATCTTCAATTTTTTCGAGACGGGGCAAAAGCTGAAAAATGCCGCCCCCACCCGCTTATATTTTTACCTTTATCTTTATATATAATCATGCTACTACCCAAGGCAGCGGAGCAGTAATCATAAATGTTAACAAACCGGGCAGGGCAGACTTTCATATATTATTGTAAAGGGAAGGAAAAGAAGAATATTTTTAAACCGAAAATTGAATATAACCGACACCGCGAAAACGCTAGTTATTGAATATAATAAGTCCGATTATACTTTAAAATACGAGAAGGTACACTAATTGCTGTCTTCGAACAAGTTAGATAACAGCGACGGTCTTTGTAAGAGTGCATCGACGACACGCAGTACACGAAAATGATATGTTTTTAATTAGTGTTTACATCCAACATACGGACAGACAGACGGTCATAAATCGAAATTCGCTCTTCATCTGTCAACGTGTTGTACTCTAAATTATATTTAGAACGGTTTTAGTTTAGAACGCTTTTAGACGGTTTTAATGCATCTATTTTATTTGATTGGCGATTTTTGGTTTGTAATTTTGGGGTTATTGACTCCAGTAACAATAACATTACAAGTTGCTAGTATTTTTTTAGTCTTCATACAACTTATACGTAAAATAAATAACCTTCTTTACAATTAAATTAATTCATTAAACTAAATACAAAGCTAGCTCTAGATAGTACGAACAATGTGCAGTGGTCTTAATATAGGACGTATACTTAAGTAAATAAAAATACATTAGTTATAATCATCAAAAAGGCGGTTCATTTGTACAATCACTGGTTTATATTTCATATTCCTGTTATGGTAACCAATTAGTTTTTGAAAAGTCTGTGAAGTCCGCCGAACCGCATTTTGCCAGCGACTACCACTGACTATTTATTTATTTATTTTAGAGAAACAAACAGTACGATATTACATAAATAATTAATAATAATAACACATAAACCAATGAAGTTTCCACAAATTAAACAATACACATATGAAGCAGACCATAATGAAAATGAGAAAAACAAAAAGCTAAACAATAAACTACAAAATTACAAAATGAAACACTGCTTAACATGAATAATAAAAAAATAAAAAATAAGGAAAAACATAAAATACATAAAATACAAAATCAACAATTAAACAATAGGTTATTAATACTATTTTTGAAACTTAAAAGTGAATTTGAAAATATGTCTATACTTGTAAATTTTTTATTATACTCATTACATGAGCGAAGTATAAAGTATAAGTATAAAGTATATATAAGTATTTCGAGTATATTTCGTTCTAGTACATGGCAGGTCAAAAATATCGTGGTTACGCTTACTAAATTTTGGAACCTTAAAATTCAAACAGCTTAATAAGAAACTATGACATACTCTCTCACATTGACAGGAGTGAGTGAGATCTGATGACTGCCTCGATAGCTCACTAAGGGCTAACACTTTATGGGCCACTA